CTTTATTTGGTGAAGGTCAGTTATGGCTTCAGCGAATGAGTGGTCTGACCTCAGGATACTCATAAGAAATAAACGTGTACAAAAATACTTTGTTCGTCAGAAAGCAGTTTGTTTTCTGTAAGCTATTCCATGCAGGGAGGGTTTGGACAGAGCCATTTGCTACGAGGCAAGAGGACTTCCTTATTCAGGCAACTTTTTGCTCCGAGTTTCTCTCTTTTTCAAACTGTCTAGAGGAGATAGAATTTGTGAGTCTCAGACCAATCTTCACTGCCAACTCTTTGGGGGCAGGTTTCGTGGACAGCCCTGTCCTGTTCTCAGCTGTTTCACAAAAAGAAGCAGACACAACACCGACAACCCGTCAAGATGCTTGAACTGTTACAATCAGTTTCCACTAAACAATAGAGAAGTACATAACACTCATAAAGGACGCAAGTACGTCTTGGCTCTTTGTTGTGTTTGTTTCCCCCTCTAAAAAAATCGTTACAAAGTTTTATGCTTAAACAGAGACATAGAAAAATCAGTGTATTCACCGTCTCCAGTTATTTACAGCAAAAATTTCAGAGACAGTGTACACCGTATTATTATACCTTCCACAAGCATATATTAAAAGTAATTACATTTGAAAAAATATTTTTATTTTTCCTCTACATTTCTACAATACGTACTCCATTTTCTGTGTGTGCCTGTTAGCCAGATGAGGCAGCCGGCACTGTGCTTCGAGGTGATATCTGTAGCTTCTCAGACACGTGTGTTGGCGCATGTATGGCTGTGACAGGTGTAACTATGCTCTACGCCAGCACAGTCAGAGGAGGAGGATGTAGGACATGGATCGTGCTGCCCAGCTGCAGGGCCCATACCCTGTGATGCACGCACCTGGGCTTATTCAACACCGAGAACCCTTGTGCTTGATTTTGGCCAGGAGAACAGTCACCAGGCTGCTTTCTCTGATCCACTAAGGTCGGGTTCACAGTCAAGCAGAAGGCAAAGATAGCGCAGGCCAGTTCCTTTCAGTGAAATGTCAGCAGCTTGGGGGGGAAAGTGCTCAAATGGACAACCCCCATCTGCCGCGTAGAATCCATAGTCCCCATTTGAGATGAACGAAAGGACTTCCTGCTCATGACTCTACAAGTTTTTTGTTGTTTTTTTTCAGATACAGTGAAGGAAAAATAAAAACTTGTTTCAGAGATCAAAGATATAGACAAGTCATGCTTTTTAGAAAAGGCTAAGCAAGAAATCCAGTCACCTGGCTTCACGAAGCCGGGTGTCTGGCCAAGATAAACACAAATGCCTTCTCTTCGGCATCCTTACAAAGAATTGTTTTCTTTTGTCTTACCAGCCATTTTCCTTGTTTTTCACCTCCCCTCTCCTCTATCCTCTAGTTGCACTGTCAGGGGCTGTGAACTGCAGCCCGGGAAGAACCCCCTCGGGCAGTTCTGCTGCATTGCCTGGGATCAGCCAACCTCCTGAGCCTCTCGCAGTGACAATCAATGTGGACCACGGCTCCAGAACTCAGGTTGCATCTGGCCAGACAGGCTTCTGTTTAACAGGCTCCTACATTTGAGTCACGGACCCTGAAATTAGCAGCCCAGGGCCAGTAGGGGAACCTGGGGTCCCTCCTGCATGCAGTGATTTATTTGTTTGGTCCACACTGACTTCTACGTCAATCACGTCTTCCTATAATCCATAAACTCTATCAACACCGTTGTCAGCTGAGTTGAGAATGTCCTTCTTAGATGGGGCAGTTCCCCTCTGGTTAGTTTGTCCCTACCTCTCCCCCCACCCACCTCCACCAGCCTGCTTCACCATTTGCTTTGACTACCTGGCCCTTCTCGGCTTTGGGGCTTATAGCTCCTGCTTCAGGCCCGGACATGGAAAAAGAAGGGGGTCTCAGATCTTTTCAGAAAGACCCACATGGCTTTGCCACGTCAGGCTTTTAGTTTAGCCATCACTTGTAGAAAGTGGAAACAAAATATGTTTCCATGCGTGCATGGATGTTTCCATGGCACGCATTTCCCTCCTCTCTATATGGGGGGCTGCGTGCCAAGTGTCAGTGGCGATGCACGCTTTGAAGCTATTGCTGTTCTCTTGTCAGGGCCCAGCGTCTTTGCCTGGACTTACGGACAGCAGGAGTAACTCCATGGGAAACAAAAGTTTATAGAGAGAGGGTCCAGGAAAAGAACATTGCTTCCAATTTCCAGTAGCATTAGACGCTTTGCCCATTTCTATCATAAAGGAGAAAATAACACGGAAAACAAAGACCTGGGGCAGCACGGACATAATTGCATCCTCCGGAGGTTTTGAAACAAGCTGTGACGTGTTGGATTGCTCCTGGAACACAGACTTGTCTTTGTATTTAAGCCGGGTCTCCGTGGGATTGAAGAACGTGAGACTGAGTTGACAATGGGTGGTATAATTTTCTACAGTTTCGCTGGGCTGTTGGGTAGTTAGACGTTGAATGGGACAGTCATTATAGACCATGTACGGCTGCCTCCCTGACAACTCTTGAGTTCATGACCAGAATCCTCTGCGCAGAGGATCTCTTGGGGTCTACCAAATAACGCCAATTACCAAAGGGACCACGTGCATTCTCTGTGTTGAGTCCAGAGCCCTTATAATGGGATGGGAACAGCAGCACCCCAACAGAAAGGGTATAGTTAAGAAGCACACCTCTGTTTTCAGTGGTGGGGGATTAAATTGCTGGAGACAAAGGAGTACCAAGATGACTCCAGTCCTGGGCAGTAGGGGTATGAACAGGATGTCAAACCAGATATGGAATTCCTTATTCTCCTCTTTTCTTCCTCCCAACTTTACCTCTGCCTCTCTAGACCCAGTTCCCAGGGGATTTGAATTCACACACCTTCTCTTGCCCTTGTCGAGTTACTGTGTGCTTGATTTATTATTTTTTGCTCCAGACTGACATCTCAAGCTTGGGGAAATAAATATTCTTGCAAATGGGATCACTGGATTACTGGGCTCTTAGCAGATTTTAGAAAATGAGACTAAGAGGTCTCTGTTCAAGAGACTGTGTGCAATCTTTCAGCAAGTCCAAATAAGAAAAGCAAATTCCATTTTCAACCCTGAAGGGACTGTACTGCGGGTTGGTCTGAAGGCCTTGTGGGAGAGGGTCCCTGGTTGGCACACCAATCTATGTCATTTTTCATTTTGTAATCGTGTGCCTGATTATTTGTTTGTTTCTCCTTATCCTTCTCGACGTATTGTTTGTTCCTTTAATGAGGCATCCCTGAGTGCAAGATCTGCATCAAGCAGTGATTGTCATTGCCGAAGCATGGAGTGACGAGTTCAGGACCAGGGTGTGTTCTCCCAGCACACACTTTCTCAGGAGGGTTTGGAGACCTTTCTCAGTCTTCGTGGTGAAGGGACAAAGCGTTGGGGTTTGCACGTGGTAAAGCAAGCTACCCTTACCACGGTTCCAAATACCTTGGGATGTAGTCACAGAAATGTTCACAGGGCAGCTTGTGAAAACGTTGTTACCACGGAAAACGTGCCTTGATTCTCTTTTAAGGGACCGATTTAGCAACTGTGCCCTGAAATCGATTGTTTGGTACCGGTTCAATCACTAGCTCCATTTCCTCTTTTCCAGCTTCGAAAGGTTCACGTCCCAGTGAAATGCTTGCACGATGGAGCAGCACACATGCCAAGCCAGTACGTCCTGAGGCAAGTGTGGGGGAACAATCTTTCCTACATCACCGTGGGACACAGGAGGAAAAAATTCTCAGCCACTTCATAAATTGAGCCAATTTAAATCCTCTAAGGTAAATTAGAGGAGACAAATGATTCCCTTTGCAACCGAGCAGGGATTACAGGCCGACAGTGGAAAACACCAGGCTAACAGAACAAGGAAAAAGTTTGACATAAGTTCAAAGCTCAAAGGGAAACAGCAAATAGACATATGAAACATCGCCTCTCAGCAGCCAATCATAAAACATACATTGCATTTGGAAACGGCTTGGTTTAATTGAGTGCCTTCCATTACCCTGTTTTCCTAGCAATCAGTAAAGTAATCTTTCCATTAGGAGGAAATATGACTCTTGGAATTAATTCTTTATACAAAGAGCTAGCAGGAGTGACATTTAAACCGAAAAGAATGAAGTCCCCGTGGCCGCATCACAAGCAGTCTGCAGCTGTCTTCTTAGACGCTGAAGGTAATTTGGTTCAATGTCGTGAAATTAATTGATTACAACAGTAGTTGAGAAAGAGATGCATTATTTTAAAGGCTTTTCGCTTTTCCCCATTGGTTTGGAATTCATCCATCACGAAACGGGAAAAGGCTCTGGGTTCTAAATGGAAAGACGAACCCTACGGTTGTGATCCTCAGCGACGAGTTCTGAGAGGACTGGAAGATGGGTCGCAACCGCGCGAGCTTCACAAGAGAACTCAATGAAAAAGAACAAGAGAGTCTGTTTCCACGGATGGATACTTTACTTTGTAGGGGTGTGTGTGTGTGTGTGTGTGTGTGTGTGTGTGTGTGTGTGTGTTTGACAACGAGAAGAGCTAGTTTTTAAAATAAGTGGGTGGCTGGGCTATCCTTGAGGGAGAACATGATTTTTCTTGCCTGGTTTCTGCAGCTGCCCTTTATCTCCGCCTCTTCTTTCGGATCCAGGCATAAGGGCGCCCTGCAGGACCCAGGTGGAGGAAACTGCTTGGCGCGCACCCTTTTCGGATTGGAGCAAAGGCACGGGTCAGCGCTCCCGCGCTCACTCACTGCTTTCCTTCTGTGTTGCTAAGATTTGCTTCACACCGATCCCAGGCTAGCTGGACATGACATAGCTTCAAATTGCATAGCAGGGGCGCTTGGTTTTAGTTCCACAGGGTCATTCAAACGTGTTTGCTAATCTGTCAAGGTTGCGTGATAGTTTTATAAATCAGGATTTGGGAATCAAGATATGTTAATTGTATCAATTAATATAATATAATTAATTATATGAACACAATATTAATTAATACAATTAATTCATATATATATACTAGACCTCCCAGACTAGAAGTATATGTAATGTTCCTCCTCCCCATTTAGTGCTACTTTTTTTTCCTAACAAACTTATTGAAAACAATAAATATAAAGAATTGCTCTGTCCCCTGCATGTTCTTTTCCTAACTCTTCTGGACAAAACGTGGTGATAGAGAAAATATGTGGGTTCCTGGGTTCTGATTTCCTCTTTTCCTCTCATTTTATTAAAAAACATTGCTGATGATCATAATCTACAGACTGTATTTCTCAGCTGAAGACACACTAAGCACTAAAGAACGCCCCCCAAACCAAGCTTCCTTCACAACAGGAAATCCCCAAAGGGAGATTTTATGTGTCCTTAAGAGATACCGGAAATGTCTATGGTTTGTTCAAATACGTCATGGAAACCGGCCCCGCCCCCGGCTGCCCCTCAGTGTGATCTGCAGTCTAAGTCTGAAAACGGGAAAATGACCCCAAATAGTTATTATTGTTTCCTCCTCATAAGAACCCGTTGGACAAGGCTTTGGTGTCACTGATAGAAACCGAGTTCTTATACAGCGGCCATGTCTTCTATTTACTGCTTGCTAGAATTATTTCTGAATCAGTACCATCCTGCCACTGACTGTAGATGACAGTCTGGCCAGGAAGACAACATCCTGATTGTCTAACATACAGGTCACATATAACCCAGGAGGTAAATAACAGAAGATAGACTGAGTAAACCTCCTTTGCTAGTAGGGATGGTCTTTTAAGCCAGGGTGCATGTGCAGGTACATGTAACAGTCATATATAATATTCTCATATATTATATATATGTTACATAGGTGCACAGTACTTTCCAAGACAGCTACAAATTTACACATGCATCAACTATCTAAAAACATAGAAATAGGTAAGCCTATTCAGTAGAATTTTCTTAAATTATATTCTGAACAATCAACAGGAAAAGTAATCATGTAAAGTACCGCTCTGTTCTCGTATATATCTACAATAAAATTCTATAAACAGGTGTCTCCCAAAACATACCTGAATAAAATTAAAAAAAAAAATAACCCCCAGTGTCCTATATTTGTATATTTATGGTCATTTCAAAAACAAACAAACAAGGAAGAGCCCCACTCGGGTGCCTATTTACATTCTTCAAACTGTAGCGGTGAAAAATAATTCTATTAAGTGCAGGACATTCCTAATGTTGCAGTAGCGACAGATCTCTTAAGTCTCCATGAACACATTGCTCTTGTCTTCGTGGCGATGCCTCCCATGGCTGCGAGACAGTTCTCCGGTCCTCCTCATTTGCAGACAGTGGCGCAGTCAGGATTAAAGAGCTCTTTGTACAATGGAGGAAACAGTGTGTTCACTATGTCGGGATGGGATTGCTTAAATACCTGCAGTTTCTCCCCGTGCAAGTTGCAAACTGCTGTGATGGTTGGTATCTTGGCTATTAACTGCAGGACGGAGAGACAGGGAGGGAGACAAAGAGGAAGCTCATTAATGCTCTGTCTTTGGAATCGGTGTCTCTCCTGGCCTTAGATGAAGCACACTTCTTAGCTACTGTTATCATTGTTAATATCCATTATGTTCCACGGGTTTTTATAATGTTATAAACTTTAGATGTTTTATTTGTTGGAAGATGACCATGTGACATGCTAACAAGTGGACTTGGACTGTTTTCCTGTCCAGCACACTGAAACCTGTTGCCATCGAGCTGATTCTGACTCATGCCAATCCCCTATGTCCCAGAGTAAACTTGGTCCAAAAGATAGGCTTGGCTGTAATCCCTATGGAAGCAACGCTAGGCCTTTCTCCCGCAGTACCTCTGGGTGAGTTCCAATTGCCATCTTCAGGACCGTAGTCAAGAACAAGCCACCGGTGCTCTCCAGGAGCCTGGTCACGCTCACTCCGAAGCTCATGCTCACTGCCGTCGCATGGATGCTGCCTCATAGTGACCCTGTGGGGCAGAGTAGAACTGCCCCTGTGGGTTTCCGAAACTGTAAACTTTTATGGGGTTGGGAAGCCTCATCTTTTTTCCCCAAAGAGTGGCTGTGGTTTCGACCTGTTGACCTTGTGATCAGCAGCCCAATGTGTAATTCGCTGTGCCACCAAGCTCCCTTAGCCTACCTGTATCTCTCTAATCCCTTTCCACAGTAATGCATAAAATGAAACCGAGGTCTACACCAGGCAAAGAGACTAGGAGGTTAGGGACACTTAGCTCCCTTAGGGAGAGGTTTTAAAAGCCCATGAGAGACTATTGACCTGTAATCATCAGGTTTTTATATAGATGAATCATATAGGGTGCAAGATGGTCACTTAAAAGACCCAGAAGACAATATTGTATAAAAAGTTCAATGTCCATTGTTTGTGCTGTATAGAGGTCTTAGAAGCTGAACAACTCCGTCCTTTAATGTATCTGTGATTTAGGAATATTTACCTAGCTGTGGAAAACCCATTGTGTCCAAATTAGCTTAAAAAAAGTATCCCCGTACTCAATTTACCGGGAGGAATGAAATGCATTCTCTTATAGAGCACACTTTTGGGAAAGATAAGCTTGTTCATTCATAAAGCTGACCAAAGATACACTTGAAAACAATTATAACATGAAATCCATCTGATCACCAATTAGGCTCACTGTGTTCCCTGCCCTGTTCAATAGCAGGAGTCCCTTTCAGCCTTTGACGTTAAAGACAAATACAAGCTAGATAATTAGTTGCTCATAGATAATTAGTTGCTTTGTGTTTATTCAAAATCAGACATTTCTACTCTTCATTAACTTTTCTTTCTCGAACCAAGGACACTCTGGGGCGAGCAGTTTGTTAGGTAGCAGGACTAGGGATTTCAACATCTTCATGAAATTTCTAGCACAGTTACAGAAATTTGGGGGATTCAAACTTTCCAGCCTATGTAACCGTCAACATTGCTATTTGAAGAAGCTGTAACCAGTTGCCTTCATACACGGAGATCTGCCTGGTGCTGACCCTGAGCGCTGTGGTGCAGCATCATGCTCCAGAGAGCTTTATGGTTGTGGCTTATGAGCAGCAGATGACCAGGCCTTTCTTTGGCGGTGCCTCTGGTTAGGTACAAACCATCAACCACTCAGTTAGTAGCCACAGCCTTAACCATTTGCAACATCAGGAGACATTTAATATTCAGAGAGTGATAGAAATCTTTTCTTATTGCCTGGATGTTAAATTTTAGACCGACCGACTACCAAGACGTTCTCTCCAACATTATGTTACTTCAGTTTTCTCTTTCCTGATACCCCCCCCACAAGGATTAGTTGTCTGCTATGTAACTAGATGCCTGAGTACAAGTGACTAGTCACAGTGTTTGATTTTGATAGTTATGAGAAGATGGAGCTAAAGAAGCACACAGAGTCAAAAGCGGACTGAACACCTGCTGTAAGTTCTATGGAGGAATGGCGCAGGCCAAGGGGTGGACTGTAGAATGCCTTGGCAACTGGAAGGCCAGGAAGGCATCCCTCGGATTGTGACATTTACACTGAGCCCTGAAGGAAAAGTGGGGTGTAACTAAGCGTTGGGGCCACCGAAACTTGTTGCTGTCGACTCAACGCTGATGCATGCCTACACGATAGGACAGATAGAGCTACCCTAGAGGGCTTCTAAGACTGGAATCTTCGTGGAAGCAGACTACTCCATCGTTCTCCAGTGGGGCTGCTGGGGGTTCAAACCATTGACCTTTTAGTTAGCTGTTAGCTGAGTGCTTAACCGATGGATCATATGGACAAGAAAGCACCGTAGCCCTTAACCAAGCACCCCAAACTAAGTCTATGTACCAGGGGGTATCAAAAAACTAACAAAAACAGCAAAATATTTTCAAAGACATGTATTTAATTTTTTTAACAAAGCAACCTTATTGGAAAGAGAGGAAAGAAATAGGAGGTAAAAGCTATTTATAGAGGTATAGCTATAGACATGTATATATGTAAATATTCTAATTAATAATGAAAAGGATAGAGGCCAATGTACATATATTTATATGTTAAGTATTAAGATAGCAGACAGACTTTGGGCCCGTACTCAAGGCCTCCATTAACACAAGAATACTTTGTTCTGATATTTGGCACTCTTTGACACTCACCTTCCTGACACGATCACTGAAGACAAAATGGGTGCATAAGCAAATGTGGTGAAGAGAGTGGATGGTGCTCTGTTATCAAAAGATATTGCATCGGGGGTCTTAAAGGCTTGAAGTTAAACAAGCAGCCATCCAGCAGGGAAGCAAATAAGCCCACATGGAAGAAGCACACTCACCTGTGTGATCATGAGGTGTCAGTGGGATCAGGTATCAGGTACCAAAAGATCCAAATCATACAACTATATTGATGCAAACCAGGAGGGTTGCAGTGGAGACCCAAAGCCCATCTGTGGACAATTGGATATCTCCCTACGGAAGGGTTATAAGGACGGGATGATTCAACCAAGGTGTAGTATGGCACTGACGAAACACACATCATTCCTCTAGTTTCTGAATGCTACCCCCTCTACTCCCACCCCCGGCCCCACTACCATGACTCAGTTCTACCTTACAAATCTGGTTAGACCGGAGAACACACATTGGTACAGATAAGAGCTCTCGACACACGGAACTCAGGACAGATAAACCCCTCAGGAACAGTAGTGGAAGTAGTGATATCAGGAGGGGAGGGGTATGGTCAGGGAGGGGGAAGGGGTAGAAAGGGGGAACCCATCACAAGATTAGATATATAGCCCCCCACCCCCAAAGGGGTCAAATAACAGAAATGTGGGTGAAGGGAGACAACAGTGTAATAGATGAAGTAATAACAATATAAGTGATCAAGGATGCACGAGGGTGGGGGAGAGAGGGGGAAAAAAAGAGAATCTTAAACCAAGGGCTCAAGCAGAAAATGTTTTGGAAATGATGATGATAACATGTACAAATATGCTCGATACAATTGACGTATGGAATGCTATAGCAGCTGTAAGAGCCCCCAATAAAGAATAAACAAACAAACAAACAAAAAGTCAACCTTATCACCTTCAACATATTCTCCATTACACTAAATACATTTGTCAAATCTGTGATTCCATTCTTTTTTTTAATTATTCCATTCTTGGAAACATTTTTCAAACTCATCTGTTTGGATGGCTGACAGCACCTTCACCCGTTATATGTCATCAAATCGCTGTCCTTTCATGTTCTTCTTCATTCATGGAAACAAAAAGAAGTCGCATGGAGTGAGGTCAGCTGAGTATGGTGCCTGGGGCAACAGAGGCATGCTGTTTTTTGCCAAAAACTGGCACACTGAGATGGTTGAATGAGCAGGTAGGTACATTGTCGTGGTGGCAAAACCAGTCTCCGTCTGGCACAAATCAGGCCTTTCATGTTGCACACTGTTTCACCATCTTTCCAGAACTTCTAAGTAGAAAGTTTGATTAACAGTCTGACCTGGTGAAATGAATTCCAAATGCACTGAGTGGACATTTTCGTGTTAGGGTAGTTGATGGATGTCCAGAAAGAGGTTTGTCATCAATTTACATTTCACCTTTTTTGAAACGAAAAAAACAACAACACTCATACACTTGAGTTTTTCCCGTAGTGCTATCCCTTTTAAGCTGAGTTGAATATCACAGCAGTTTCTGCAGGATTTTTCCTGAGCAGGAAACAAAATTTTATAGCTGTCAGCTGTTCTCTTAAATTGTGCATCACAAAAAGTGAGGTTCCTAGGTGACGCCACTGGGTGCACTAATGCAGAGCTAGTTGCTTAATGTTTGCCTAGCTGGAAAAATCTCTACTATGAAAGCTCTGCTGAGCAGAGCTTTCCCCCCCATTTTTTGAGGGGGTACCTCCATATACCACATGTTCATGCATGAGAACACGAGCCATTTAATTTGATTGAAATGAAAAGCAAAAGCAAATTGATTTTCATTTTTTGGGTAGTGATAAAGAGTAAACTTTGCATTGCTTAACTATGATTCATGGAGTAGAATTCTATTACAATAATTCCTGAAGCGTTTCTCGGCTCCTTTAGTGAAGGAGTAGCCTGGGAGTTAGAGTGTATGGAACAAACCCCAAATTCAAGTCTGTTGTCACTGAGTCGAGTCTGACTCATTTTAAATCCGTGTCTGGGAGAGCAGAACAGCCCCATAAGGTATTCCTGGTTGTCGCTTTGTGACGATGGCACAGAACCGAACCGGGCTTTGTTCTGTTGGACTTGGGGCTGCTGCCACTCGAACAGATTCTTGGAAACCCGAAGAGCACAAAAAACATCTTTTCAGCAGCAGGTCACTTTCTACGGTGATGCCATTGGGTAGGTTTGAGGACCACTTTTAGGTGCAGTGCAAACCGTTTGTACCACCCAAGAATATAGGTATACACACATATCTCCATATCCTATATATCATATTTCTATATATATCCATCAACAGCTACTCATGCGCACTGGAAATATGTAAACCTGCATCTGGTT